TGCAGGCCACTTCTGCTGACTATCAGCTGCCTGCAATTTGGCAGTTCAAATCCCACCAAGTTCAATGTTGACTCAGCCTTCCATCCTTCCAAGGTGGGTAAAATGAAAACACAGATTGTTGTGGGCAATAGGATGACTCTGTAAACTGCTTAGAGAGGGCTGTAAAGCACTATAAAATGGTAGATAAGTTTAAGTGCTATTGCTAGTGCTAGTGCTACTTAACAAGAGCTTGTCCTCAGTATAAGCCTTCTCTGTATAAACATATGAAAAAAGTTTAAACCCAATATTTTATCAACACACAATAATTTAATGTATGAGGTTAGCAAGACAAGACAGAGACCATGAAAGAAAGCAAACCATGCCAAGTGGGCGATTCACCAATTCAACCGATTCCCAATGTATAGGAAATATTCGCAAAAGTTGCTTGTTGTGAAAACTCTTAATCATCCATGTCATGGCCGTCCCAAAGGTACTTTTTCCAAAAGGCAAACTGGACATTCTTTTGTTGCTGTTATTGTTTTGAAAACATTTCACTTCTCATCCAAGAAGCTTCTTCAGTTTTAATTGACTGGGGGGAAATGGGAGGATTTACATCCTTTGCAAGCATCTGGTCACAATAAAGGAGAATATTTGTAGCTCAGGGTTGACATGAGAGGTCCTTGGAGCTCTCTGAGCTTGTCTATTTTCTTGCAGATACTTCATTACCCAAACTACATAACTTCATCAGTGCTAATCGCTAATACTGACTGTGGAGATCAGGGGTGGAATTCAATTTTTTTTTTACCACTGCATACAGGGAGACATAGTGAGAGTGGTGAGAAATAACACACAACTAGCACACAGATACACTGTATAGTAAAATGTAGGTTTTTACTTCCAGTGAACAGTTAAGCAAAGTCCAACAAGCAGTCCAAGTCATTCATGGTTAAAGCAGTTTTCAGTCCAGGGATAATCCAATAACAAAGTTCCAGTATCAAAAACAGTTCAGTAACAGACTTACATCAAATCCAAGAATAACGATGATCAGCAACAGTCAATAGGGAAATGCAGGAACAGCAACACTCTCAGCAACAACAGAACAGAACAACCCAAGTTTCTGGCTCCATCTTATGGCCGTTTGAGGAACCACACCCAATTACAATTCTAGCATTCCCTTAAAGAGACAGTATTAAAATGTCTGTCCTGGTTTATATATTTTCCAACCCAACTGTTAGGTGACTTACATTCCTGACAAATACCACCCTTGATGATGATGTTATCTAGTTCAGGGGTCACCAACCTTTTGGACTTCAGGGACCACCAAACTCATAATTTTAAATCCCAGGGTCCACTAACCGGTTCTGTGGGCATGGCCTAATTTGTGGGTGTGGCTTGGTGGTCATGTGACTGGCTGGGCATAGCTTTTATGTTAATATTAAAAATATTTATATAAATATTGATTTTTTTATAAAAAAGAGCAACTTTTACCCCAAAACAGGCAAAGCAGGCAGGCAGATTGAGTTGCCTGTCCTGAGGCTGGGGCTGAAAGAAGCTCTTAAGGTTGATTCTCCAAAGAATCTGGAAAGAAGTCCCAAAGCGGCCAAGATTTTGGATGCTCTTTAGCTGTTCTCGCTCTCCTTTCTTTGATGTCCTGCAGGGATAGAATGGGGGTCAGTGCTGGAAGACAGACACCTCCAGATACCACCCTTTTGTATCAAGGAGGGCGATTTCATTTTTTTAAATGAAAATAGGCCTAGAGTACAAGTGCTATTGCTGGAAATCCTCAGGCACTCAACCGAACAGCAAGTTCAAGGATTCAGAACATTTTTCTCTCCTGAGCTTTGTCCAAGATTTTAATCCTTGTTGTAAATTGTTTTTCCTTTCCCCAAACATGTTGTTTATTTATTTAGCATATGACGATGTTACATTAGCCAGGAGGCTCCACTTCTGAGGCAGAGTAGTAGTTTGGCTGCCTGTTTGCTAGCTCTGTTTGGTTCACACTTGGGTACTTCCCAAGTGGGCGAGCTAACTCCACATCAGAAAGGAACATGAGCAGCTTTCTTGCAGTATCATCCAAGGCCCTCTCTTTTCACCAAAGTCACCTTAAAATGGGAATCGCAACTGGGAAGGTTCAGGGCCAGGGGGGATTTTAACTATACACATGAAGCACTGGCTCAACTCCTCACTGAAGAGGTACCTATTTATCTACTCGTATAGAACATACTTTCAAATTGCTAGGTAGGAAGAAGCTAAGGTGAGTAACGGGAGTTCACCCTGTTATGCAGTGCTAGGACTCAAACAAAGACTATCTCCAGTGTTATTAAGCCACCAAGTCACCATGCTTCTACTCTCCAAACATAGAAAGTTGGAGTATGGTTAGAATTCCTATGGGATTTGTGCTGGATTTATCCCTTGGATTCTTTGGGGCTACATGATGTGACCCTGGGAAGTCTTGTGAATGTGGTTTTGGTTACTGAAATGGGGACAACACACTAAATTGAGGGAATAAATATATGATGTATAAATATATGAGACCTTGTGTAAAAACAGGTTGATGCTCACATATCTTCAGAACCTTCCACGAATTGGCCCCTTGACTTGACCCTGCATTCTTAATTTTAATATTTCAAACTTAAACAAGAATAAATTAGCCATCTGCCGTGCAAAGTACCTGCTTCTTTTATATATAGTGTTTATGGGTTTACGTCTATTTGTGCACCACCTCCCAGAGTCAATCTACGAGGTAAGTGGATGGTTTGTAAATAGGACATACATACATACATACATACATACATACATACATACATACATACATAAATGCATACATACATATATAAACAAATAAGCAAATAAATTGTAGCTTTATAGCTGGTTATACTGGCCCCATGGACAGGTACTTAACAAACATGCAAGCCCTTTCTAGCAGCCATTTTATGAGTGAACCCAAAACTTGTTCCAAATATTCCAATTGTATCCTGAAGGCAGAGAGTTTGCATCTTGGGGTTGAGGATGGAAGCACTGTAACACAAGCACTCATGCAGGTTCGCATGCAAATGGAAGTAGAGGCTGAGAAGAACATGGGGCAAGACTTCAGATCAGCTTGTTTGAAAGTTATTCAGAAAGGATCCGGTGAAAGCAGATCCATCATCCTAAGACCTTTCCAGTGGGAAGTGAGGGCAGAAGGAAGAACAAGCTGCAAAAAATATTTCCTCCTTACTTACTTATCCAGATGATTCCAGACACCAGAAGAATTAAAGCAGTCACAGCCCCTATGATGACTCCTACATGGAGGCTCCTGTTGGCTAAAAGTAAAACAGAGTCTTCAGTCTTCAGGATAATATAACAGATATAACAGATAATTGGAGTTAGAAGGGACCTTGTAGGTCATCTAGTCCAACCCACCACCTAAGTGGGAGACCCTACACCATTTCTGACATATGTCAGCATTCCAAGGAATGAACTCATAGAAAGCAGAATTCCGAGGCAGGTGGACAATTTATTGGATACATCATATTGGCACAACTGGTGAAAACCAACTCTGAAAGTTCCTGCAATTTTCACCTGATTAAAAAATAAAAGTTCTCCCTTCCCACAAGTCATCAGTCACATTGTCCAATGGAAGTGCTGGCCAGTTGCTTCTCGCCCAGCCACCTGTTGGAATGTCCTTGGTTCCCACAGGAAAATCTTTTGTTTTGACTACAAATCCCCAATTGGCTATTTCCATCCTCTCTGTCCCTTCTTCTTCCATGCCTGAAGCCACAAAGATGGCCTCAGTCAGGTCCGCTTCAGGGTTGACATAAAGATCCTCAGCTCAAGGACAAAGCCTGGGCATAGATTTGGCACCTGGCACACCCAGAGGGTGCTCACTGCCAAGCAACTGTCATGAATTCCTCTCTAGTAGCTTTACCTCTGCCAAAGAACCATTACTCCTAGGATCACAACTGTAGAAACCACAACCATGCCTGGACTTGAATGCCTTTCGCACTCTACCATCCTCTAGCACCATGATGGCAAACAGGTGGCACACAGAGCCATTTGTGCGGGCATGCGAGCCCCAAGCAAACTTACCTCACTGCGCATGTGCCTGCCTCCCAGCTGATTTTCGGGCCTTTTTCAACCTCCCAGAGGCTCAAGGGAAGCCTCTGCAGCCTTTGGAAGCTGAAAAACAGGCCCATTTTGTCATTTCCTGTATTTCCAGAAATATCGGAAGTGATGAAACAGGCCCATTTTTCAGCTCCAAAGGCTGCAGAGACTTCCCTCAAGCCTCTGGGAGGCCGAAAAAGGCCTGAAAATCAGTTGGGTGACACGTGCATGCGTAGTGCAGGTAAGGGGGCAGCGGGCCATGCATGGAGGGGCGCATTGCCTTCTGGGTGCTGGCACATGAGCACAAGCACAATTTTCAGCACAGGAGCCCAAAAAGGTTAGCCACCACTGCTCTAGCACATTTAAACAAGGGTTAAGATGATGGAATCACCCATTTTCCTTCACTCACATGACACAAAAACACAAATTACCTACAGGGGTACAGTTCTATGGTTAAGATGACAGGTGATTTTACTACCGGTTCTGTGGGCGTGGCTTGGTGGGCTTGTGGGAATGGCAGGGGAAGGATACTGTAAAATCCCCATTCCCACCTCACTCCAGGGGAAGGATATACTGCAAAATCTCCATTCCCTCTCCACCCCACTAACCTGCTTTCCAGCTTTGTTCTCCTGTGCAGGGCAACAAAAGAAGACCCAGCCAATCAGCTGGCACTCGGGAGGCAGAGAATAGATGGGGGTGGGGCCAGTCAGAGGTGGTATTAGCCAGTTCTCCAAACTACTCAAAATGTCCGCTAATGGTTCCCCAGAACTGGTCAGAACCTCCTGAATACCACCTCTGAATACATTGATACAAACAGGTTGAGATTGAGGGTGGAGAGAACTACACCTGGTGAGCTAATTGTTCTGTCTTTGCACCAAGGGTGAAGTTCCCTTTCTAATTGCCCAATCCCTCATGGGTGAAAATTCTTCTTTACCAACCCCAGTCTTGCAGTTTCTCCTCAGGGTTTTCCTTCCAGGCCAAGACCAGGGGCTCCTGTAAGCTGCCGTGCTTTATGTGGCAGTTGAAGATGTCCCTCTCCTTGGGGTCGATCTCAATGATGAGCCTGACATAATAGGTCCCATCCGAGTTGGGGGCCACGTTCCTAAGGAGGGTCTCGTACTTGCAATCCTCTTTACCCCTCCTCCAGATGGCCTGGATCTCCTTGGGATAGAAGCCAAAGGCCTGGCAGATGAGGACTTCCACCTTGTCACTGGCAGTCTTGTGCATCACCCTCCCCACTGGGGGCTCTGCAAAAATAACAACAGCACACCTCACAGGATCTCTCCAACTACCAAGACAATGCAACATCTGGAAGAAGCTCGCGGAATTGCATCCCTGCAATCCCTTCTTTCTTGAATCTATACGATCCTCAAGAGGTGGACCTTGATGTTCCATAGGTGTCAGTCCTACTAGGTAGACCAGTCCAAGAAACCAATGACACAGAAAGGCTAAAACTACTTTTCCTGAAATTGACTATGATAATGGAATTTGATGCACAGTGCACCCTTTTCCATCTTATGGCCAAGTTCCTTCAAAGTATAATCTGTTTGTTGTAGACTTGAGGTATGTTTCACTTTTTGTTGGCCAAGGATCATGCATATGTCCATCAGTGTTATCTTCCTTACTGTCAGAATGTTTACAGTGTGACTATTATTATGAGACAACCAAGGAGCAAAACACAGGACACAGAGGCTTTATCTTTTAACAGTGGTTTATATATAAAACTACTACATACATACATACATACATACATACATACATACATACATACATACATACATACACGTGTTAGACAAATACCAGGCAAGCAAGCAATCTTCAACTCTACACAGAGAACTACAATGGAGAGAGAACACAAGGAGAGAGGGAAAGAGATGTCCTCACATGGCCACCCTTATATAGACAGCTTCTTAAAGCAGCAGTACCCTTCTGACTCATCCTCAATTCTTCATCTTGGCTTACAGCCTTACAGCAGCTGGTCATTACCTTAACACTTACCTTCTACACCAGGGGTGTCAAACTCAAGGCCCGGGGCCCGGATCCTGCCCATGGCGTGCTTAGATCTGGCCCATGGGGCTGCCCTGGAAACAACAAAAGATTGGCCCGCAGTGCCTCTGCCAGTGAAAAATAGAGCTTGGGCCTCTTGAGCTCCATTTTTTCTGGCAGAGGGTCCCAGGAAGCAGTTGCAGATGAAAACAGAGCTCAGGAGCCTGTTTTTGCTGGCAAAGCTTTCGGGCCATCACTCGCGCCCCCAACACGAGTGACATCAAGCTGTCTGCTCCCATCCTGCCACACCCACACCAGCCCCCCTGAGGTCAAAAACAACCCTGATGTGGCCCTCAATGAAATCAAGTTTGATGCCCCTATTCTACACTATTAATGTTGCATATAAGTGATTGCATAGCCTTGGTAGATGCCATACGCTAAATAAAATAAATCAATAAATACCTTCTACACAAGGCTTCCTTCCATGCAAGATTGAGTTTATGCTCCTTAAGGAGAACTACAGACCTCCTCCCATCCAGTGGTGGGATTCTACTGGTTCTAGCGAATCAGTAGTTCTGATGAGCAGTTGACCCTGCCCGCCCACCCCTGCCCTTTCCTGTCCTATATTTCCGTTTTTTTAGCTCAGCTGATTCGTGCAGCACAGCAGATTGCAGTGAGTCAGCTGTTTTACTCACCAGCACTGACATAGAAGTTTTTAAGCTTAAAATTGGTGGTGGGGTTTTAACGCTGCGTGTGCGTGCAAAGCACGCACTCGCCGAACCAATTGTTAAACCAGTTGCATCCCACCACTGCTCCCATCCCACCAGCAGCATTCAAAAGTCCAGCCAAGAAAATTATGTAGTTGCATTCCCCTGCACTTACCTATCCTTTGCAGAGCTTCCTTACTGTAAGACAAGTAACTCTTCAACTGCTCAATACAGGTCTCCAAGTAGACTTTGTTTCTCTGGGACCATCCTGAATCATCCTCCCACTTCTCCTTGACCTTCTGGGCCTGGGGCTGAGCTGTCACCCATCTGAAGGTCTCACCGTCGAAGCTGATGAAGTCCATCCCATCATAGCCATAGTGCAAAAACCCTCTTTTGCTCCCGTCTTCCCTGAGCTCACAGCCCAAAATTGCCTGCCAGGTGTGAGACCCTGAAAGAGAGATTAGAAGGACTGACTTCCTCCCCAAGCCCCCCCCAAAAAAGCTTATAGTAGAGTCTCAGTCTGATT